ATCCTTCTAACTGAGTTGTCATTTCTTGGTGTTGTCCAGCGGCTTCCATCCAGTTTTCGGCCATTTCAGTTCGATAAGTGTTCGGGCGCCAATATAACGTTGCGCGCCTCCAACTTGCACGCAACCAAGAGGTGACTGTGAAAGCTTGTATAAAAGATAGAGCCTTGTGAAGGGTTTAAGTCCCTTTTTATTCAACGTAATAAATTACAATTGCGTCCTCTTGGCGCTTACAAACTGTGCCAACTTGGCAGTCAAATAAAAATAATAACCTGAAAAGAAAGTAAAGACAAGATTCTAACTACGAGGCTCTCTAAAATAACTAACTCACCGCGTTTTACAATACCGCTGCTAATTCAGCAGACTTGAAGCTCACTGGAACGATTACCACTACTTCCCGCCAAGCACATAGGCCGCAACGCGGGGTTCTTCAATTCTCGCTAACTACCTCCGCGCTTGCTAAGTAAGAATATCTCACCGAACTCGTTCCTTCTATTTAAATCATAGTGCTTCCGCTGATAATTTGAATCCTTGCGCGTTCTACTAAAATTTACATATTCTGGCATTGGCAGTTCCAGGGGAAAGTAAGGCTTGACAGGAAAGATAGTTTAAACTTAAAATAAATGTTAGTTAAAATAAATATAAACCCTACAACTTAATTGAAAGCTATTGATTTAACGTAAATGCGTTTTTCTTAGTTTCTTTTCGTTATAGAGGTGAGAATTATCAGCCTATGGAAAACTGTTATAATTTTTCGGTGCATATATACAGTTACCAGTTGTTACTGTATTGTAACTAAATTTTGTAACTGTGTAAACGAATTTCATACAATGTTTGCCCAATAGTGTGGAGAAGCTTACAATTTGTAATCCTTTAAAGCCCATATCACACGGCGCTTGTTTCACTCGAACAACTGTTTTGGACAATACTTTTCACTGACTTACTATTGAAAGAAAGACGTGCGACTTTTTCCTTCCTTTCCAAAAAAATTGCAAGTTGTTCGTTTTCAACCAATCAGCTATCAGCTTCGAATGCTATCAGCTTGTTTGTAATGGGGAACCACTTTCCCCTGTGTTAACCCTAAAGCGATCTATGGTGATTGCCTGTTGTGACAAAGCAGAAAAATTGTTCCAAACAGTTGTTCTTCCGAAACAAACCGCCGTGTGATAGCAGCCTAAGTGTATGACACAGGATAGTTGTGCAACTTAGTTTTTCTTCTGGCACAGGATTGTTGCCGTGCAATTTAGTTTGTTTTTAATGGCACCACCTTAATTTGGAACTTGAAAACAATAGTTGTTGGCTAATGCTCTTTTAAAATTGTTAATGGCAATGCTGTCAGATAGATGGCACCAGCAAAAACCGATGTTGCTGCTCTGCTAATGCCAACACTGGATCCAAGACTCTATAGGTCTGTGGCATGACGCCCTGAAATATCAAGTGCAGTCCATATGACAATATGTTGGTTACCAATTTTAGTTACATTATACTTATATATCGGTATTTTTTTAAACTTTAGTTTGATTAAGATAGACTGAGGGTGAAGTCTTTGTATTAATATGATAATAGGTTAGAATTTACAATTTTTTCATTATTTCCAATCATTCGCTTGTTCTTTTGCTTACTAATTTAATAAAAATATTATTATTAGCAATTAGAAATCAAAAAAAAATTTCTTATTATTAACTCTTTTGTGTCATAATGCAAACAACGTAAAGAAATGTATTTTACAGTAATTATGAATAAAATACAGTGAACTCCCGGTTAACCAGGAATGTGCTCGCGTTTAACTCAAAATCAGGGATAATCCAAGCGCAATTAAAATGGCCTCTCCGGGATCCGAACTGACGATCTGCTAGTCAAACATGCTACTACTTACATCACAGGAACACATACGGAGAAAAGCGATAATTTCTTGCATTATCTCCCACATAAATGGCTACTGAAGAGAGACAAGACCCAGTCGACCAATGACAAATTATGGTGACAAACTATCATCCACCCCATTTCAGTCAGGTGCCACTGTAGAGCTATTAGATTTTTCGGAGCGAGAAACATGACAAATTAGTTACGCTCATCAGGATTCGAATTTCGGATCTTGAGAATGCTAAACGAACGTACTTCCAGTTGCACCTCGAGAACCCGCACGGGGATGGCAATAATTCCTCACAACTCGTATAATAATAAACAGAAAAATATTACTAACAATTTACCTGCGTATTTAAGCAGTACAATCAGAATGACGAATTCATTTGGTCAACTAAATTCAATCGGTATTAAAAAAAGCGAGGACTGTAAATAGCTGAAGAATAAACATCGGTAAAGATTAAGAAAGGAAATTGTAAATGGCCTCAAAGAAACATTTTACAAGGGAACTTGATTAAACACAGATTTCCAACCCACTTGTAGAAGACGGTTAGAATTTTTTTTTAGCAAAGTTCATCTGGTTGACACAATCTGCCATTTTATTTTCCTTCGACAGTTTTGTTTTACACTGAAGATTTACAGCGTTGATTATTCCATCGTTTCGCAGTAAATAAATTAAATCGTTATAGGCTGCCCTCAGTTAATCTGACCCTTCTCATACTGTAGAGACATTAGGAATTTTTGGAAGAGGGCAAGATGAAAAATGAGCAAACGCCTTCCCCGGGAATCAAACCACGGACCTCTGGAATCTGGAATACCGGCCCAATGTACAGAACCACTACAAGGAAACTCTAGGAAAGCGGGAGAAATACCTTGTATACTCCCCTTTTTAAAGGGCGACTGGGGTTTTGAGGGGATCCAATCGCCAAATCCTAGGTGTGAAGAATCCTATTCCAACAGCTTTTTAGTTCGGGCGGCTTAGAGACATTAGGTATCTTTTGGAAGCAGGCAAGATGAAAAATGAGTAGTCGCCTTCGCCAGGAATCGAACCACTGACCTCTGGATATCGGCACCGCGTGCAGAACCACTACACCACGAAGGCACGCTAGGAAAGCTTTACTAACTACTAACTAAGTTTTATACCGCGAGTCGTGAACTCAATTACATTCCGGGAACTGGTAAAAACCAGAAAGCGTCACCCAAAGATGACTTGAACACTCCTGCTGGGCACGGGTCCCACATCCCCGAGACACCAACAAATTTAGAAATCCCTCCGCTGATCGCTCAACAATCAGCTAGCCCACCGCTAAACACGGACCAGTGAAGACCACCGTCCCGGCTGGACCGAGACCACGGTGGGGTGGGTGATGACAACTTAGGGTCGATGACTGGCCGTTGATTTGGGCTACCTGCCAGCACTACACGGGATGCCCCTCTCTTTAGGCTTTACATGGAATACCAAGGACAGCAGTGACCAGACTCTCAATGGTCCAGTTTGCTATTTGGCTACCAATATCCTGGTGGAGGGGACTAACACCTCCCGGCCCATGAAGAGCAAGTATGAACCTACCCCATGGGCCTTCGGGAACCGCCAAGTTCATGAATTTTATACCCCGTGGCCGAGACTGCCTAGGTACAGATTCTAGCCAGTACTGCGCAGAGTACTCTACGTCGACCCCCGGGGGGGATAGGAAAGCGTTAGAAATACCTTATAATATTAAGCGTGTTTCTTAAGAACGGTTACACAAAAATTCTCAAATTCCAATTAAAACAGGATTCTTAGACTGCACTCGATTTCCCTGCTTAGTTGTATGTAGACTGTACTTGTTTCTTAAGAGCGGTTAGATAAAAATTATCAGAATTCAATGAAAGCTTAATTTATACAGGCTACGCTCGATTAATTCGTCCTTGTTCAGTCATGCACTAACTATACTTGTTTCTTGGGAGCAGTTAGAGAAAAATATCAAAATCCAATTAAAACTTAATTCTTACAGACTGCCCTCAATTAATCGGTCGGTGCTTAGTCGTGTGTCGATTATATATCTTTATTTGAAGCGGTTAGATAAAAATTATTAAAATTCAACTTAGTTTAGATTTTCATTTAAATGGACAAAAACTTAAATGCATTGCATAAAAAACCTGACGTAATCTCTCAGTATGTATTGACTGTTTTCATTTTAAATGTCACATCAAATTAATGCTGAATCTTTTTGTTTTTTAATAAAACATATTATCATTATAAATATTAGAATAGAATAGAATAATAGAATGTACTGAATAATTTTCATTGCGTGAAATAGCAATATCGCTATGCTTTTATGTTGTTCATCTTTGTATTGCAATTTTAAGGTACAACATATATTTTTCCAGTGTTTAGATGTTGGATTCTCATTTAAAGTATTTTACTGAAATTCTTACATTTTGATGATTTGCTTTTTTTTTTCCAATGGCAGATTATGAACAATTACAAATGTAACCCAGACCATTAATCTATACAAGGCCGGATGTGGTGGTCTCTTTATTACGGAGGCACTTAATAGGTGGGTAACCATCGCCTTTCCTATGAAGAAACGGACAGTTACAACCATGCCTTCTCCTGGATTCGGACCCAGGGGCCTTCGGCATCGCAGTCAGCTTCCCTGACCACTATACCGACTGGGCGGCTTGAAGATTTGCTTAAAAGTTATAAAAGCTTAATCTAACTTATGATCGATATGCGAAAAAAATATCTCCCAATTCTCTCACTGAATTCGTAATTTATTAGGATTTGCTTAGACCAAAGATTCATATGTATACATCTAAAATTTGACGTGACACATGGCGTTAATCCTTTTTAACATTCCGTTGAGCACGTCTAGTTTTTATTTTACAATCCGCGCTTTCATAACCACAAGAAAAGAACGAAAAGCGCCAAGAAAACCGGAAGTAATCATCTTTCAGCCATGATGATTTTGTATCGCGTTTCTAGAAGAAACGAAGCCAACTAACCCCTTTGTTCAGAATCCGAGTTTTCTAATTGGTTCACCTAGTTTCAAGTTAATCTCTTGTGGCGAATGAGAGCTCTTCTTTAATCTTCAATGCTTTAAAAATTTATTCTACTAAGAAATAACCGTCATTCAAAGGTGGATAACGTTCAGTTTTTAGTTTCTAGGTATCAGAGAAAACGCAATTTCGCTAAATCATGGACTGTGTTCTAAATATTTTTAAAAATTATAACGATTGAAACTTTATTTCCAAATAATCCCTCTTCAGAATTACTTTTTCCAGAATTCACAGCTATCTAATGTGTATTTAGAAGTGAAGTGAAGTGGCACTGATGGACATCATGCGTGTTTTATAATTGCGTGACATTTTGTCGAACAATTCTTATTTTTCCAGCGAATACTGCATTCTTTCTGGAATGTAACCTATTCCAAATGTTTAGTACTCTGTTTTTTATAGAATTATTTTGTTGTCCAAAATTCTCTCTGAAATTTCCATCCGTTTCTTTTCCTTATTGAGTATTCGAAGAATTTTCTCAATTATGAATACTTGGATTTAACTGGAATGATATGAAATTTAATTCATTCCCGAACTTACAGCAAAGCAATAACAATAAAGTGATTATAAATTGCATAAAGAATTAATTTGCAGCGAAGTGTTACAGTATCTGTTACTCTAAGTACCCGTTCGCCTTTCATCTTCATAATTACGTTTCAATGAAAGTGCATTTAAAAAGGAAATTTCAGATTATTTGCAGATGATAATCGGATGATAATTTAAATGATGGATGTTATGAATGAAAGGGATAGCATATTAAGCGAAGAACTACCGGAATACCTTTTTTCAGGTATGTTTTAAAGCCTTAAATTTTAAATTTTCATTATGTGATTTTATTTAAAAAGAAAAGTTTCAAATTAAATTTAAGTTTATTTTAAAAAGTTTTCTTTATTATTTATATTCCTAAACATGAACTTTCGATTACTTTATTTTTGTACTTCCTGAAATGGTAACTCAAACGACTACAAGTTTACCTTCACGCTTTAGATGATGTTTACGTGCCATGGCATAAAATTTATGAGGCCTATCCAGCGGCCGAGCGGTAAAGTCATTGAATGCAAGTAATTCGACCTGGGTTTGATCCCAGTCGAGACTACCGGTTTTCATGGTTTTCCTCATATGTAACTTGTATACGAACTACTTTCATTTAATAAGTCTTCCACAAAAGCATCCCTTCTCTTAAGCAGATAACCCTAAAGTGTTTTGCCGTAATCCGATAAACCAAACCAAACCATAAAAATATTGATAAGTTATTAAAAAGATGCGCTAGAATTAACCTGTAGAAATGCTTTTAAATTATACTATTTACCAAGATTGTTTGTTAACTCAAAACAATCCAAGACCTAAGTAAATGGGTGATTTGGTGGAGAACTTTCTAATGAAGGTGTGTGTGTGTGATTATGGCAAGGCCTCGAGGGCTATCTGCCTAAGAGGAGGGATGCCTTTGTGGAGGACTTTCTAAGGGAAACTGGTTCGTATACACGTTACACATGGGGAAAACCACGAAAACGCCCATGCAGCCAGCCCATTCGCGGGATTCGAACCTCGGACCGAACTAACCAGTGTTCAGCGACTTTACCGCTCGGCCGCTGGTGGGCCTTTCTAATGAAGGACTAACTCGTATGCACGTTACACATCGAAAAGGCATGAAACAGTCTCGCAGCCAGCCCCAGTCACACAGGCAATATTTGAGTATAGACGAAATACGGCGTTCAGTGTAAGAACGAGTGCTATATATAATGTGATACTTATGTAGCGTACCTAAATATTCAATATGTAATCAATAAAGTAATACAATAAATAATACGCACGTAATAAAGCATACGAATAGCAGTTAAGTTAATAATAAACTGCAAGATGTAATTTATGTTTCTTTCGTGCTAAGAATGTAAGAATTCTTTTCTATAAAGCATTCTCGAGAAATTATTAATCAGTAAAGAAATACTGTGCATGCAATTATACTTAAGATTTTAAGATAAGCATGTGTAATGAAACTTTGGTCTAAGTATCACGCACGTGCAAGTTAGCTTACAATCGGGACTGACATCAGAAAGTGAAAACAGGCACTTTCGCCCTGCTGTGTGTCGCCATGTCATTTCCTGTAATTTTTTACCCTTTCATTAACTTCCAATAGTTACAGGCAAGTTACCAATTACACAAACTTAAATAATCACAAATTACACTTTTTACTACTCGCCCATAAAAAAACATGTACGAACTGATTTACTAGCAATCAACATCTACATACAGATTGACTCCAAAATTACTCTTCCGGAGGGATAATGTGCTGTACATTTTTCCGAACTCTCATCTATAGGGTACCGAGAAGGTTAATAAATTTAATTGACATTTCGCAAATTTCGGCGACCTTTCTTAGAGAATATTATTCACGTTGAAATTGGTATCCTTACAACTCATCCGTGCAAAGCAACTGTACAGTCCCGCAGAATAGTTGCCGCTGAGTTATTTTAGTCCTGTATGTATTCTCTGGGACTGTATTTATTTGCATACGCTGTGAAAGTATTGGTTGGTTAATTCATTAAGTAAAGCACGCGACGGTTACCTGCCTAAAGGAGACCGTTGTTTTAGTGAATGAACTTTCTAAAAAATACCGATCCGTATTTACTTTGTATGTGACGAAATTTCCATGCGGTCATACATTTTACAGAGTTATGAACCCAAAATGAATTACCAGTACTCAACGATGTTATCCAAGTGGCAATAGATGGCCTAAAACTCTAACTGAAAGCGACGCGACACCGAAAATAAGGATTAAAAGGACAAAAATACTCTGAACACTGTATAAAAAATAAGGATTCGAATGCGAATAAAACTCAAAATGAAACTTTATAGTTTCCCAGGCAATATTTCCGAACTTACATGGGATCAGAAATGGTCTCCAACAAATTGTTTACATGCCTTTTCAAGCTTGTAATTAATTACAATCGAAAGTTGAACCTGAACAGAGAATGGGACTAATGAATTTAATTGAAAGAGATTAGCAAAATACACGTGCATAAAATTTACTTTTTACTTCCTTGTACGAAGTAAAAAGGAAGTATTATAATCGCGAAAAGTTTCACGCGGCATATTTCAACGAAAATATCCATTTTGACCGCTATCGAATGCAATTTAATGATGTTTTTGCGTGATATCTGTACGTGAGAACAGAATAAAGGACTCTTTTCCTCCAACAAAATTATAAAACTGCTTTAAAATGAATTCTGAAGAGAACTTTTCGTGGCGTTTGTACGAACTTATGTACGTACGTACGTATCTCGCATAACTCAAAAACGAGTAGCCTCAGAACGTTGAAATTTTGTATATAGGACTACCATAGCATGTCGATGTGCACCTCGTATTCTGTTTGCAATCGGCCGCGCCAAACGTATATAAATATATATATATATATATTTCCACTCTGTTACCCGGCTCAGTGATCTCAATTTCTTTACTCTTATATGTTTGTAAATTGCATATTTTTTGCTTTAAAAATAATTGAATTATGTTGTTTTTGTGCCTTTAGTAAATCTGTATGCAATATTTTTAGAATTATCAACAATTTAAGTTGTTTAAGTGCCGCTAAGCCTAATAATTTTTTTGATGGCGGCCATTGCTTGTTTACATTTGAAACAGCAGAGTACTGGATTTGTTACCAATCTAGATAAACGTAGCTTCGCAACAACAAAGATAACGCCTTCATTTATTATTGCTTAATCCTTTCTGGAATTTTTTCGAGAAAATAAATGTTTAAGATTTATTTCGTAATTTTTAATACAGATATTTTGAGTTTTTATGTATTTTTGCCTTGTCGCGAAGTGAGAACTGAATTAATTGGATAAGAAATACTCAATCGTGTGTGAAAAACTGTTTCTTTTTTGTTTTGTTTGCTTAATTTCTTTTATACATCGTTCTAGCTTTATTATAGTATTTGAAAAGAACATGTGGCAACGATTAGATAATTCTTTAAATGATATAAATTTTGTGCATTCTGAGTTATAATATTAGCGAAATATAATACTGTTAAGTGAATCTAGCGCCAGAGTGTCGCTATGGTAAAGAAATAGAGTGAATTTTAAAGAATGCATTTATTCTATTGTGGTTTATGCGCTGTCGGCGAAGTAGATTTAATTCAATTCAATAAGTTTAAATTAAATGCAAGAAAAAATGTGTATAATTTAATATTCCGTACAAGGAAGTCATGTGTGTACACATCAGATTTTTTTATATTTATTTACAAAGTTTATGAAAATCAACGGATATAGTTTTACAGCTATTGTAAACTATATTTCTTCTAGTATTATTCATTTTATAAGATATGGTCTGTTTGGCTGTCATACAATGTGTGTGTGTAGATTTCAAAGTTTAGCCTGGCGACTTCTCGCACAGGCGTGAAGAGTACCACAACAGGGAAAGGTGTAAAAAGCCCTTTTTATTTATCACAACTCTTTAACTGAAAGGGTGGACTTCGCGCTCACAGAAACATCGAGTACTTGCGGTGAGAACTTAAAGGTAGTTTTAACAATAAATTCGAAAGGTAAGAAGTAGTTGACTTACCAATACCTTCACAATTTAAGTTAACCTAGCAGGCTGACTCAACAATCTACAACGGCGTTAGACTAACTAAACAGCCAGAATGCGTAGCCGCTACTATGATTAACAGCTGGAGGACAAAATAGCAAACGTGTGCTTCACAAGCGAAACCACGCTCCGTCTAACCTTCTCGTTTCACCCGTTTAAATACTCTCTTTCACCTATTTCATTTGCATCCTGGATAGTAAATGCGAAGGGAAATAGTTCAGAAAAGATACAAAAATTAAAATAACTGGTTAGGGAACTAAGGGAAACTCTACAATCTTAAACAAGTAAACCTTGGAATGCAATTAAACTGTTATCTTATAATTAAGCGGAATTTTACTGATGATTCTTCTCCATTTAAAGATAGATTGCGACATTTAGAAGTAACTTTCTATAATTTTTGTTTTCATTTAATTTTTCAGTAGCTTATCTTGTTCCATAATCCACTTAAATACGTAATTAATAATATTACCTATTGGCTCGTTAGTTCATTTATTTCAAACAATAAGGAAAACCGTACTTTCTTTCAAAGAACAGCATAAACAAAAAACCGTATTTCAGCAACTTCATCATATTCTAAAAGATATTTAAATTAAATTTAACAAGAATCTCCGAATCAAAATTTACGAGTTTCTGATGGTGTCGGTTTAAGAATACATTGCCTACGCGGTGCGTTTATCTCCATATGCAGGGTTATTTAGAAACGTTCGTGAGTTTCAAACGACCACAGGCTTGAACTTCATAAACATGTGATATATTTTTAATAATCTGATGTGAACACCACATGAATTCCTTGTACGGCCTATTAAATTATGCACATTTTTACTGCATTTCACTTAAACTTATTTTCTCGAATTTCATTAATAATATACTTCTCATTGAACAATTCAATTCTCATTTCCTGGCAAGGCAAAAATACATAAAAACTCAAAACATGTTCGAGAAAAATTATAAAAACAAACCAAATACAGTTAGAAACATTTAAAAAAACAATTTTTATAATTAAAATTAGAGTTTATACTCAAAAACGAGCAATTCGGTCAGCAAACAGGGAGATAGATTTTTCAATGGACAAAATTAAAAGTTTATTTTTAGTCCCACTTACCAAGAGGACACTGCAGGTGCACTAAATTACTTCACTGTTCCACTAACAGTTTCAAATGTAAACAAATGGTGGCCTCAACAGGTTTAGTACCAGTTAAAAAATTTTTA